TCTTGTCACACATCTCAAGAAACGCATGGGGATTGAGCTTTAGAAGCAATAGGCTAATTTACCAAGCCTCAGTGGAGCCAGGTATTTTATACGGAGTCCAAATATGGCATGAAGCCCTAAACAATATTCACGTAAGGAAGAAGATTTTATCGATCCAACGGAGAACAACCATTAAAGTCTGTAGGGCTTATAGAACAGCACCGACAGATGCTCTCTGTGTTTTGGCCCACCTACTCCCAATACACCTTAGAGCGAGGGAAGTGGTGTGGAGATGGTATACAACAAACATCGACCTGCAGGACCTCAATGAAGAAACAATAAAACAAAATATCAAAAACGGTATCCTCCCACCCAATAGTGAGCAATGGATAGAGAACATCAAAAAGCACAGCATAGAGAAAGAAGAAAAGAACTACAAACAGTTTATCCATCCTACTGACGAAAACAAGTACAAAATTATCTTCGATATGACAAACACTAAAAGTAAAAGCTCAAACTGGATCATCCACACTGATGGCTCCAAGACAACTACTGGAGTTGGGGCAGGCATTATCATCACAAACAATAAAGGTAAACACGTCTATCAGGCGAGCCTAAAAATGGCTCCTCACTGCACCATAACTCAAGCTGAGTTGTGGGCTGTCAACAGGTCATTAGCCTATATTGATACTAATATGAACAACTCCAAAAAAACAATAGAAGTAAATGTAGACAGTAGGGTGGTGTTACATACTCTAAATAACCAAAGAAAAAACTCAACTTTAGCTAAGGAGGCAATACAGCTAGCCCAAAGAATAGCAGGCACAAATAACTTAATTATTCAATGGATGAAAGCTCATGGGGGTCATGAGGGAAATGAAAGGGCCGACAAACTAGCGAAAAAAGCTGCAACTACCGATTCCAAAATTACGTATAGTAGGGTTCCTAAGACTGAAATACACAATCACCTTCATGAAATTGTCGAAGAACTGTGGCAAAGGGAGTGGGAGATCTCCAACACTGGGAGAAGCTGTTACAACTTCATCCCAAGGATACAGGATAGGAAAAAAATAAGACATTTAAACCAGGCTATGAAATCACCCAGTGCTTTACTGGGCATGGAAACTTTGGATCATACCTTTTCAGATTTGGTAAGGCAACAACAAACACATGCGAGACCGACAACATTGAAGACAACGTAACGCATTTCCTATACTACTGCACTATGAGGATAAACAGCAGCAGCTTTACAGAGAATGCATAATGCAGGAGATGACTTGGCCTCCACAGGAAAAAGACATATTCAATAACAAGGACCTTTTGCGTCATCTCACCAAATTCATCAAAAACACCGGGAAACTAGCAATCCCATCGCAGAGCAGTGAACAATCTCAGACCAGGAATAACCTACCTGTTCTTGAGGACAATACAAGCGAGGACATCAGTGATGAAAGTTTCACCAATAGCGAAGAGGATCTCTGAAACGAACTGACCACCGTGTTGTTAATGTTTCTCTGTTAGACGATTGTAACCATCTGTTCCTATAAATGTATCAGGACCAATTACTATGTAAATACTGTAATCTGTATTAGGCAATGTTAGCCTATTTTTATATCTATCTCTGTTTTTTTTTTTTTTTAATAAATGCGGTGCCGCGGCCCATGGATCCCCACCCTTGCCTTCCTTCCCCACCCCTTTTTAATCTAGTTACTTTCACTTTTCTTCTCACTTCTTTTCCTCACTACAGGGCTAAGTTTGTCTTGAACAGACAGCTCTCTACTTAACTTTATACTTATCTTATCTTATCCGAATATTGAGGCACTTAGGACAAGGTACGGGTGACAACCTTAACTCTTTCGAAGGACGGGCGACTACTGCCTCACTTTGTTGTTCTGTTCTAATGTTGAAATCGAAATATTAGGTTGAAAGGTGATGAGAAAGCGTCGTTATTAGGCCTCAGAACTTAACAGATGTTTAGCTCCCAGGTGTAAAAGTTGACAGTTATTTAACGAAAGTATAGATACGATGTGATATTATAATGTAATGATATAAATATACTGAAAGTCTGGATTCGGATCCTCACAATTATCTTCCATTGAAGTATGGGTCTTCTTTTCCTTGAACTTCTTCTGGAACACTATCTTTATTAAATTTTCCGAAGACCTTCGTACGATGTGTTCATTTTGAGATGCTTTGCATGTTGAGATTCTTTGCATTAAAACCTTTGTACAAAGGTTTTAATGCAAAGGTTTTAACCTTTGTACAAAGGTTTTAACCTTAAACTTCTCCAGAATTTGTTTACTTTTATCTTTGTCAGTCTGTTTGATACTTCTGAACCTTTTGTACCATAGCATTTCAAAAGAACTAATGTTATTCATTACATCCATGTTGTAAATTCTTGACTATAGGTACTGACATATAGCCAAGAATGTTTTAAACGAAAATATACATATTGACAGTAAACGAACACGATAAAAAACTTTTTATTACATTTATCTTGAATTTTGCATAACATTTGACAACATTATAAACCTAGTTATGACATTTAAATCACTATTATAATAGTAATTTTCATAAAATTGAAGACAAAACTGTCCAAAAAGGATCACCATTTATTATTTTTTGTGTTCTAAGATTATCACATTCTCGGCGACTGGCCTTACTTTGTAGGCTACGTGTCGCCGGAAAATTACAAAAAGTCCTTTTAAAAAAAAACAACACATCCAATTAAAATTATAAAAATTTCTGAAAAAGGAACTGGTGACATACAGTTGTCTTGCTTACTTCCATCTATATCTTCTTTTTGGGGTTTCTTCTGCTTTTTATCTACTGGAAATTGGCGCTGGAAAATGTAGATTTTTAGAAAAGCTGCCCCCTGGTGACGATACATTAGAAATTTCTTCAGTAAGTGTTTACAAACAATAATAAACGGTGATCCTTTTTGGGCAGTTTTGTCTTTAATTTTATTAAAAATAATTCTCCATCGGACGAACACTTACAGAAGTAATTTTCATATTGAAATTTGTCAGATGATGTGCATCAGCGTAGTCTAGGGTTGCCACCTGTCCGGGTTTGACCCGGAGACTCCGGGATTGAGTGAGTTATCTCCGGGCTCCGGGGTTAATTAATATTTCTCCGGGTTGTGCAAATCGAAATGAATATGTACAAAATTATATGCAAACCGTCGCATATATTTCTTTCCCCGTGTACCGAATTACTAGTGTGGTAGTCGTTGGCTTAAAGACATAACGTCTATAACTGGCATAGGCGCAGTGCTGCTGCATGCTATGTAGATGTACTCTTTCTTGTGACTGTTCTGTCAAGAGATGTCTATTGAGAGTGAAATGATATAGCGTACATAGCTGATAGTTTGATAATCAGTGTTCATGTTGGTTGATGA